GTGTGAGGCGTATGCCGACTTGGGCGGGGTAGATGCATGTGATCGCAGCCGCTGGGGCTTTCGGAGGAGCTCCCTGTGGTGCCGCAGAACTTGTGAGGGGTGTGCCGAACTTGACGGGGCGGGCGCATGCGAACACCACAATAGGGGTCTTCGGTGGAGCTCCTGATGGGGTCACCACGGGTGTGAGGGTTGTGCCGAAATCGGTGCGGCAGGCGCATGCGAGCGCAGCCACTGCGGCCGTCGCTGGATCTCCCTATGGGTCCACGAAGCGTGTGAGTGGTGTGCTGGAATGTGTGTGGCGGGGGGATGCGAGCGCAGTCATTGTGGCCTTATGTTGTTGTTGTTGTTGTTGTTGTTGTTGTTGTTGTTGTTGATGTTGCCGTTGCTGTTGTTGTTGTTGGTGTTGGTGTTGTTGCTGTTGGTGCTGGTGTTGTCATTGTTGTTGTTGTTGCCGTTGTCGTTGTCGTTGTCGTTGTTGTCGTTGTTGTTGTTGCTGCTGTTGCTGTCGTTGTTGCTGTTAATGTTGTTGTTGTTGGTGTTGTTGTTGTTGCTGTTGTTGTTGAACTCTCATTTCTGAAGAATAAGTATTGTTGATCCCCCCCACCGGTGCATACTGTTTTTTCTCATTCAAAGTGTGCCCCTCGACGCTCGCACCCGGTTTTTGACAAGGAAAGTCTTGATGCTCAAACTGGGCCCCTGGCCCCCAGGTTACAACAACAACGGCTCCCGCCTGAGACTTCCTCACAATTTAGCCAGGACCCCCGCTCTCGCCCGAGACTTCCTCGCATTTTACTCTGGAATCGCGCTTTCTCTTGGGACTTCCTTGCAATCTATTCAAGAATCGCTCTCCCGGCGTTCTGGAGTCGCGCTCTCGCTGGAGACTTGCTTGCAATTTACTGAAGAATAGCGCCCTTGTATTGGAATTTCTTGTAGTTTGCTCAAGCGCCGCGCTCCCGACACCCAGGCACCCAGGAGTCGCGCCCGTTGTGGCCCCATGTGCATGCCCTTCGTGGCCCCGCTGTCGCTGTTTGTGGCCCCCTCACTGTCCTACGTGGCCTAGTTGCTGCCCTCAGTGGCCCCATCGTTGCCTTCTGTGGCCCCGCATTATCTGCCCTTCGTGGCCCCCGCTCGTTCGCGCTCTTCGTGGCCCCATACGCATTCCCTTCGTGTCCCCGCTGTCGCCCTTCGTGGCCTACTTTGTGTCCTTCGTGGCCCTGCTGTCGTTCTCTCTCGCTCTCGCTTCGTCGTCGTCGTCGTCGTCGTCGTCGTCGTCGTCGTCGTCGTGGTCGGTCCCCTGTCCGTCCCTCTTGGGGTCGGGTCGACGGTCCGCGGCCGCCCCGCCGATCAGCGCTGCCGCTGGCCAGGCCGACGGTCCGCGGCCGCCCCGCCGCTTGCCGGGGCCCGGCCTGCAGGGAAGAAAGGTCTACCTCTCAAAAGGGGTTCAATCGAAGACGAAGAGGGCTGGTATCGAGGGTTTGGGAAATACGCGTCATTGGACACTCGAGCAGATAAGGGCGAACAGGCTTAAACTGATTGTTGTTGTTGTTCTTGTTGTTGTTGTTGCTGCTGTTAATGTTAATGTTAATGTTGTTGATGGTGTTGGTGTTGGTGTTGGTGTCGTTGTTGTTGGTGTTGGTGTTGTTGTAGTTGTTGTTGTTGATGATGTTGTTGTTGGTGGTGGTGGTGTTGTTGTTTACTGGGGCCACGAAGCGTGTGAGGGGTGTGCCGAAATGGGCGCGTCGGGCGCATGCGAGCGGAGCCACTAGGGCCTTCAGTGGAGCTCACTAGGGGGGCCGCGAAACGTGTGAGGGGTGTGCCGAAATGGGTTCGGCGGGCGCGTGCGAGCGCAGCCCATGGGGCCTTCGGTGGAGCTTCCCATGGAGTCACGAAGCGTGTGAGGGGTGTGCCGAAATCGTCGCGGCGGGAGCCTTCGGTGGAGCCTTCGGTGGAGCCTGCGAGTACCGCCACTTGAGCCTTCGGTGGAGCTCCCGATGGGACCGCGAAACGTGTGGGGGGTGTGCCGAAATGGGTGCGGCGGGTGCGTGCGAGCGTAGCCGCTGGAACCTGCGGTGGAGCTCCCGATGGGGCCACGAAACGTGTGGGGGCTGTGTCGAGGTGGGCGCGGCGGGCGCATGCAAGCGCAGTCACTGTGGCCTTCGGTCGGTATTGTTTTATGGGGACGCGAAACGTACTTGTGGGTAGCGCGAGTGTGAGTATTGTCATCGGCGGAGCTTCCGTTGGGGCCACGAAGCGTAACAGGAATGTGCTGACATGGGCGCTGCGGGCACATGCGAGCGCAGCCGCTGGGGTCTTCGGTGGAGCTCCCGATGGGGCCGCGAAGCGTGTGAGTGGTGTGCCGAAGTACGCGGAGCGGGCACACGCGAACACCGCCTCCGGAGCTTTCGGTGGAGCTCCCGATGGGGCCACGAAACGTGTGAGGGGTGTGCCGGAATGGGTGCGTCGGGCGCATGCGAGCGGAGCCACTAGGGCCTTCAGTGGAGCTCACTAGGGGGGCCGCGAAACGTGTGAGGGGTGTGCCGAAATGGGTTCGGCGGGCGCGTGCGAGCGCAGCCCATGGGGCCTTCGGTGGAGCTTCCCATGGAGTCACGAAGCGTGTGAGGGGTGTGCCGAAATCGTCGCGGCGGGAGCCTTCGGTGGAGCCTTCGGTGGAGCCTGCGAATACCGCCACTTGAGCCTTCGGTGGAGCTCCCGATGGGACCGCGAAACGTGTGGGGGGTGTGCCGAAATGGGTGCGGCGGGTGCGTGCGAGCGTAGCCGCTGGAACCTGCGGTGGAGCTCCCGATGGGGCCACGAAACGTGTGGGGGGTGTGCCGAGGTGGGCGCGGCGGGCGCATGCAAGCGCAGTCACTGTGGCCTTCGGTCGGTATTGTATTATGGGGACGCGAAACGTAGTTGTGGGTAGCGCGAGTGTGAGTATTGTCATCGGCGGAGCTTCCGTTGGGGCCACGAAGCGTAACAGGAATGTGCCGACATGGGCGCTGCAGGCACTTGCGAGCGCAGCCGCTGGGGTCTTCGGTGGAGCTCCCTATAGGGCCACGAAGCGTGTGAGGGGTGTGCCGACATGGGCGGGGCGGGCGCATGCGAGCGCAGCCGCCCGGGCCTTCGGTGGAGCTCCCGATGGGGCCGCGAAGCGTGTGAGTGGTGTGCCGAAGTAAGCGGAGCGGGCACACGGGAACACCGCCTTCGGAGCTTTCGGTGGAGCTCCCGATGGGGCCACGAAACGTGTGAGGGGTGTGCCGCAATGTGTGCGGCGGGCGAATGGGAGCGCAGTCGCCGCGAAAAGTGTGAGGGGTGTGCCGACATGGGCGGGGCGGGCGCATGCGAGCGCAGCCATTGGGGCCTTCCGGGGAGCTTCGTATGGGCCACGAAGCGTGTGAGAGGTGTACCGAAAGGGGCGCGGCGAGCGCATGTGAACGAAGCCACTGGGGCCGTCGGTGGAGCTCCGTATGGGGCCACGAAGCGTGTGAGGGATGTGCTGACATGGGTGCGGCGGGCGCATGCGACCACAGCCACTGGGGCCTTCGGTTGAGCCTCCGATGGGGCCGCGAAACGTGTGAGGGGTGTGCCGAAATGGGTTCGGCGGACGCATGCGAGCGCAGCCACTGTGACCTTCGGTGAATCTTCTTATGGGGCCACGAAGCGCGTGAGGGATGCGCCAGCACGGGTGCGGCGGACGCATGCGAGCGCAGCCACTGGGGCCTTTCGTGGAGCTCCCTATGGGGCCACGAAGCGTGTTAGGGGTGTGTGTGCCGAAATGGGCGCCTCGGGCGCATGCGAGCGCAGTCACTGTGGCCTTCGGTGGAGCTCCCTATGGGGCCACGATGCGTGTGAGGGGTTGTGCCGAATGGTCGCGGCGGGCGCATGCGAGCGTAGCCGCTGGGGCCATCGGTGGAGCTCCCAATGTGGCCGCGAAACGCGTGAGGCGGCGGGCGCATGCGAACGCTGCAACTGGGGCTTTCGGTGGATTTCTCCATGGGGCCACGAAGCGCGCAAGGGGTGTGCCGAATGGGTGCGGCAGGCGCATGCGAGCGCAGCCACGGTGCTTTCGGTGGAGCTCCCTATTGGGGCCACGATGCGCGTGAGGGGCTTGCCGAGATGGGTGCGGCGGGCGCATGTGAACGCAGCCACTGAGGCGGTAGGTTGAGCTCCCGATGGGGCCACGCAGCGTGTGATGGGTGTGCCGAAATTGGTGCGGCGGGCACATGCGAGCGCAGCCACTGCGGCCACCGGTGAATCACCCTATGGGGCCACGAAGCGTGTGAGGGGTATGCCAAAACTTTTGACTGGTGCGGAGTGCAAAGGCAGCGATGGGACGAGGGATGAGGAGCTGGATGAGGAGGTGGGAGGAGTGCGGGGCGCTGTCTCTTCAAAACGAAGACCTGGCGCCACAGGATGGGCAGGAGGAGGTAAGGCGGACATCTCCGCCCTGCTCACGAAATCGCCCAACATACGGCGGATCTGGAATCGGGGCTATGGACGACGACGACGACGATGACGCCGGCGGCGGCGGCGGCGACGACGACGACTTCGACGACGATTTCGACGACGACGACGACGATGACTTCGACGACGACGACGACGGCGGCGACGGCGACGACGGCGACGACGGCGACGACGACGACGACGACGACCGCAACGACGACGACGAGGACGACGACGACGGCGGCGACGACGGCAGCGGCCGAAGCCGAGGAACAAACGCCCGCATTGACGAACGGAGATTGTCCGACTGGGTAGTCGAAGGCCAGACTGTCAGATTGGACTGGGCCCCAAGGGCCAATCTGGCCCGGCCAAACTGGATGATTTGGGTTATTCGCCAGACTGGATTCGCGTTGGCTCCCTCGCCAGATTGCCCCCGTTTGCCAGATTGGGCCTGCCAGATTGGCGCCAGATTGGCTTCGACTACCCAGTCCGATATCTGGGGATCGCGGTGCCGATCGGCCTTGTCCCCGGGCCCCCTCGGCGGCCCCACCGCGGAGGTCCCACGAGGCCGCGGCCTCGCTCTCGACGGCGTTCACAGGCGGGCGCCAGGGAGGGGGTGAAAAGGGTGGGGATAAGAGGGGGACGAGGAGGAGGAGGAGGAGGAGGAGGAGGAGGAGGAGGGAGGAGGACCAATGCAAACCCAAAACTCATCAACGATGCTGGGATACACCCTCCCTCCAAGCTCCCTCTTAGGCCCCATACAAGGGTTCATTTCCACTAAAGGAGTTGCCCCGTTGGGGGACAACCGTGTGAAAGCCTGCCAAAACACCATTCTCAGGCTTTCAACGCCACGAGTTAACCTGACGGTTGCGTCGTGGCCATCCGGAATCTTACCAGGGAGCCGGTTTTTGGGATTCCAACACAGCGAATCTAAGTAACTGTTGCACTGTGGAAATCCAGAATCGTTCCAGAACGCCATTTCTGATACGTTAACTATGAGAATCAATGAAGGTCTTGTAATTTGTTGAAACGACTGTGCGCGGCGCTAAAGTGAGAGCCACATCTTGAAAAGTAACCACCCTCAATCCGTCAAGCTGCTGGAAGCTTGTAAAAGGAATGTACATACGCGTCGCTAAGGCGAGAGGCACATGTTGAAAACGACCTGCCCTCAACCCGTGAAACGTGAAATTCTTGTAAGTTTGTACAATGAATGCGCGCGGCGCTAAGGCGAGAGGCACATGTTGAAAACGACCCGCCCTCAACCCGCGAAGCTCTTGCAAGTTGTTCAAACGAATGCGCGCGGCGCTAAAGCGAGAGTCACATTTTGAAAACCATCCGCTCTCAATCCGTGAAGCTCTTGCAAGTTCGCGCGGCGCTAAGGCGAGAGCCATATTTTGAAAACCATCCGCCCTCCATGTGTAAAACTGTTGCCAGCTTTATGCTTGCGGGTCATCAATGGTGAGGAAGTCTCAGGCGAAACGCCCAGCCCGCCGTTCTGACTTGCCTCGGGATGCGACAGGGAGGAGTTACTCATAAGGAAAAAGAGTGGAGGAGGAGGAGAAGGAGGACTCTAAGACGATACTCTTCCTTCGGGGTGGAAGGCCCCCAGGTGGCTGGACATCAGTGGAGCAGCCTCCAGAATTAGGGCTTCGAGCCCTGGCGCGCGTCGCTTGGCGCCCTCCAAACATGAGAATGGGAATGCATGAAGGGCCACAGCCCCAACGGGGGACGTATAGGAAAGATGAGATGGAAAGCAAGAGTTGGGAAGCGATAGGCATGCAACGGAAAAGCAAGATGCTTGGATCGGGTGGCGGACTACATACGGGAGGCAAGAGGCTGGATACGGGAGGCGGGGTGCAGGCGACGGGAGGCGAGGTGCCTGGGACGGGAGGCGCGATTGATGCCCGCCCTAGGCCTTATTGCGGCGTCGCTGGTTCTGGTATGATATGATAGCTATACGACCCAGCTGGCTGCCGTGCTAGGTCGTCGGTTGTAGATATGCCCGCCAAGCCAAGCCATGCGATGCTATGCTATATATCCGCTCTGCCGCCTATGTGTAGACATTGTCGGATGGGTCCCCGTAGGGGGGGGTGGACTTCCCCAAGGCACTTCCTCATACCCCGATCGATGGCCATAGGCCTTGGAGTGTGTTGGGGCACCCCCGCTCGGATGCCTTGGCTTGAAATCTCGTGCTCGCTTCTCTTGACAGCTTGTGATTCCTTCTTTCCGCACCGAGGGGGGTGGAGCAAAAATGTGGGGACCCCCTGAGTGCCCCAACCCCCTATCCGATGCGGATCTGGCTTCTCCGAGTTATGTACGATTGCCGTGAAACTGCCATCCAACAGGAAGCGTACCTAACTCCCTGCTGAACAGTACCGTCCCCTTCCAGTACCAAAAATGGCCGGTATTGCAAGCAACCTTTTGGGGGCGAAACGGTTCCTTGAAATATCTGGGTGTTTTCCCCCACATGGTGCTCGACGTGGGATGCCTGTCGGAGTAGCTGGCAAGAGACACGCCCACCCCCATCGGCCCCAGACACAACCTGACCCGTCCCATAGACCAGCCTACCCTTCCGGTTACAGGAATGCAAATGCTGGAGGCGCTTCACAGCTTGCGGGGGGCGAGGGATGCACGAGACGGGATGCGAGAAGCTGGAACGAAAGGCAGGGTGCTTGGATGGAATGGTGAAGCCATAGGGATCGAGAGCGGAGGGCGGGCAGCGACAGGGCGGAACAGAGATTGGAACATGCCGAGCGCTTTGTGGTTTGCTTGCAGGCACCTTGGCTTCAGAACAAAGAGGCGTTGGAGAGAACGAGGAGCGCACAGATCTACGATCGCAACAGTGCGTCCAGGAACATGTGCTCCTCTAGGCTATTGGCAGGTCCCTTCTTGAAGTCGGGATGCTGGCTTTTTGAGAATCGGTCCCAGGCATACCTCGCTCCATTGGAGGTAAACTCGAGGTTGCAACCCTCCTTGAGCTTGCGGAGGTTCCCCGATTCTGAATCGGCCCCGCAGGCGCTGCAGATAAACACCACCCCGAATGTGTAATTTGGAAAGGTGGATGGTGTGCCTACGGGGGTTCAGGGCTAACTGGGAGAAGGCAGCGCTATGGCCTGGACGTGGCACGGCCGACGGCGCCGGGCGGTCGGCCCCTTTAGCAAATTTACGGCAGACCTCCCCCTCCTCCTCCTCCTCCTCCTCCTCCTCCTCCTCCTCCTCCTCCTCCTCCTCCTCCTCCCCCTCTTCCTTCTTTTCCTCCTCCTCCTCCTCCCCCTGCTCCTGCTCCTCCTCCTCCTCCTCTTTTTCCTTTTCCTCCTCCTCTTCCTTTTTTCTCCTCCTTATCCTCCTTCTGCTCCTCCTCCTGCTCGACCCAGCGAGTGCGCTTCCAAGACCATTCGTGGCCCCGGACGAGTCGGGTCGGCTCCGGACCGCTGGCCTGCGAGCCCCCCGTGAGCCCCACGGCGTGGGGCTGGGGAGGAGGCGGAGGGCACGGGAGGAGCTGTCCTTCCTGGCGAAGACTTCTGTCGAACTGCGATCTCAGCTCCTTGGTGGGAGCAATTCGCGGGAAAAGCTTTGAAGCCTCAGCCGCGTACAGGAGGTATCTCCTGAGCGCGGCCGTTTCGTCTACCCACTGCTGCCTCTCAGCCTCCGACGGCTGGGCCAAAGAGAGGGCGCCCTGTTTCGCGTGCCTGTCGGCCAACTCGTTTCCCACCGCCAGGTGCCACTCGTGGGTGAGTGTCGGCAGGTCTGCGGGATTCACATGGGCTGGGACTTTGAGGATCCTAAAATCCGGCCCCCAAGAGGGGGCTCCTCGTATCTGGATGCCCAGGTCTGCGTAAAAATGGTGGCGGGCCGCGACTCTATCCCATGGGGCCACGGCCAGCTTCACAACGCCTAGAAATCGGAGTAGATGAGAGTGACGCGAGGGCAATGTTCCAGTACAGCGAGCACCGCGATGCGTTCCGCAGCGGGTGAGGTGCGGGGGTAATCCGCCCCCACTGCTCCCCATAGCGCCGCGAAGAGCTCACCAGCGCGGGCGATTTTTACAATCGCCCACCCTGCAGCGTGAAACGTGGCAGGGCCATCTTTAAAACAGGACCCGTCTGTGAAGACATCATCTGCGAAAGCCTGCTCAACCGTGGTGCCTGTACCTGGCGGCGGTACTGATACTGGGTCGGGCACCTCAATAAAACCGCACACCAACGGGATATTGCGATGCACGTCTGCGAGGATGGCGAGGTTTGCGGCTTGTAGCATCTCCTCACGCAGCGACGCTGTACTGGGGCAGTGGTGGAGGCGATGCGAGATGCTGTCAGATGGCACCCAACAAATGCACGTGGGGTCAGCAGGGTGGCCTGCGCTACGGAGCTGGTGCTCAGTCCACACAGAGTGGCATAGCAAGAGACGAAGAGGCATATTCTCGATGCAGGGGACAGGATGCATCAGGGAGTCCATGCAGCGCGCTCAGGGTAGGCTCGACTGTGGGGATTCTATTTCTTAGGCAAAATGAGATGGGAAGCCAGCGACGGGGGCGAGAAGCAGGAGACGGAGGTCAGGATGTTGGGATCGGGTGGCGCGAAATACAGGATGCTGGATACGGGAAGCGAGATGCTGGAACCAAGAGGCGAGAAGATTTGGACAGGAGGCGGGATGCGGGACCGTCAAACAACAGCGTGGAGACGAGCGCGGGCAGCAAGGCTGGAGACGGGAGGTGAGATGCAGGGGACGGAAGGCGAACGGGAGGGCCAGGATGCAAGATGCAGGGTGGAAAGGAGCCTTCTCCGCCGCTCGGCTTCTGGCATGGGCCAGCTGCCGCGGGAAGCGTGTAGATCGCTCACCGTCCATGGTCCAGGGAACCCGCGAGCCACCAGAGAACTCCTAAGGGGCAAAAAAAAGATGCAGGGTGGAAAGGAGAGAGAGAAGAGGCAGTGGGGGAGCTGCAATGGGAAGACGCGCGATCAAGCGGAATGCAGGGGAAGCGAGCTGCAAGAGAGAGGATCGATGGGATAGGAGGAGCCGTGTCAGGAGTGGGCAGAGCATGGAATGCTGGAGGCAAGAGGCAGGCTGTGATACATTCGCTCCCACTGTGTTGCAATCAACCTCCCCCGCTTGCGTCCATTGAATTCCCGCCCGCGGAGCGGCCAATTCTCAAATATTTCCTGGGGAATCGACGATTAGTTGTGTCTGCGTGTTCCCCCCCCAGGTTGTTTACCTGACGGTGTGCAAGGGAGGAGAAGTAGCGGCTCCCTGATTGCGGTGTTCCACCCTCCGGCGGGGCCCCGCCAAAGCGGCTTGGAGGGCCATTCTGTGTCGAAAAAACATATAGGAAAATACAGCATGTCATTGTGCTTCCCTAGTGTTTTTCGACATCGATTATTTTATCGTGTTTTCGGCCCCGAAAGCGGTGCCGAGGAAACCAGCACAGTGGTGGAAGCGGGTCAATTTCTCTGTGCACGGGTTCGCTGGACGGGAGCCCTGTGCTCTCGCCCACAGGGGCCGCTGCCCCTACAAGGGGAACCCTCACTCGTGGCCCAGACACTCGCACCCCCTTCGGAGGCTGACGAGGATGTGGAGGTGGGGGAGGGGGAGAGAGGACAC